CATTTTCCATCAGTTAAACTGTTTGCTTTGAAAACCGGATTTCATGGCCGGCGCCTCTTGTACTCAACGCGGCAATCACTCAAGTAGATTTTGGTCTTTCGGCAGAAGATCAAGCCGACGAAATTCACTTGAACCCGCCTTGAGACGTACTTTGAATTCTTTACTATATTTATATTATGTACGGGCGAGGTCACAAAAAGCAGCTTTTTTCCCGCAATCATCGTATTGCAGTATTGGTCTTCGGCCCTTACCTCGATCTCATAATATGCTCAGTGGCATTAGATTTACTTTTTCATTGACCACACAAATTCTTGTCAAGAGTATTTAATGCGTATACGCATATGTAGAAGAGTCTAAAATGCTAATCTGTCATTAAAAATGACCACCGTTCAATTTTTCACTGTCAAAAATGTCAAATACCGGCGGATTGGTAGTTATCCTTGATAAATTGCAAAAAAAAAAATCAACTAACCTTGTGCGGAACTTGCGCTTGCTGCAAACAACTGAAAATTAAATATAATCGGCTTTCTAGTCTTAAATAAAGCCGACGACGGGTTCTTGAGCGTAATAAAGGTCATGAAAAACCAAAAAGGGAATGGAATTAGGTACGTAAGTTGTTTTTTGCTAGAAACTTGGTAAGTATATATTTTTTCAAAAACCTTTCATCCTCATGAGCAGATATAGTTTCAAGTGGGTGAGTGTAGGAAGCGCGCCACTGAGTCTGAAAAAAATATTCTCAAGAACTCTCAATGAAGGCAAAGTCATATCGAGAAATCGATATCAGAGGAGTGGAAGACCTTCTTATAGAACCGGAATGTTAAAATACTTGAAATAGCATAAGCAATAATTAAACGGCGGTCTGATTCTTTCATTTGTCCATGTGTAACACAAAAGAATCCATACGAGATAGAAAGAATAGTTGAACTTACAGATTAAACGTACAAATTTGTTGATAACTGTGGTCCCGGAAGTGCAAATCAAAGAATCGGGCAAATTTTTATATTAATGTGTTTACCGTAATGTTTTGATTTAGCGCCTGGGGCGCTAATTCACTTGTGTAACTCAAAGTAGGACGTTTACTGGAGAATGGGCGCTTATTTCTTTCTGAACTTAAACATCTCAATGTGATGCAATATATATGTCTGGATTCATGAAAACAGTTTTAAAGAAATCATGCGAGCGTTTTTTTTTTCCTCCACTCTCTTGTCTTCCTTTTCTTACTCTCCTCTCTGTATTTTTTCTTTCTTTCATCGCTTGGAGTGATTTTAAGGCCTTTTGGAGTTTTGAAATCAAAGTACATATGGCTATTTTGGTACGAAGTCTTAAACACGGTTTTCATAAATTCAGTCATATATACTTCAATGATAAACAGCAGATAACTCAACAAATGTAATACTATGGCTGGCTCTAATGGTCATAATGTTCAATATAACGTTCAAGTCTGAACAGTCTATTCTATGTCAATGTCTACAATGTCGATTTCGTTATGGGGGCCTTATTGGAAGAGAGGGGTGGGACTTATTATACTTCGCTAACGCCTTTGTAACTACTAACAAATCGATTTCCCCTACTGCCGTTCGAAACGTCGCCTGATCGTAAAAATTACTGTTTCGCTTGAACGCTCAGAATTGTGAAATTGTGAAGTCCAATCATCTCTTTTTTTCTCCTTAACGTATTAATACATTGTCAAAGAGATATGCAATGAGAAGTAAGGCAATCATCAGCTGAGTTGCCTTGATCTTCCATCAAACTTTTAGATTCAGCCAAAAAATGATCCTACAAAGAATTATCGTGGAATTAAGTATTTCAGTTTTCAACGCATGCTTGACTTTCCAGAAGGACTTGTGGAGTCAGGAATGCACTTCCCGAGGAATTAAAACTTAACGACGAGGAACATCAGGAAAAAGAACACGAAAAGACACAATCGAAATCAAATTGCCTACACATGCTCCTCGATCAAACGTTCCGCTCCGAAAAACTCCATTGAAATGCCAGTTATGAAAATGTCCACTTTTGTACAGAAGTTTGCCGCAACAGTAATCAATCAAAATCATAAGTCCTTGACCCATTATGGCAGCATACATGCAGAATCCATTTAATGAAAATTAAAATAGAAAGATGGCTATTAACCCTTGGGTTAATTAACCGCGGAAGGCATGGCGCTTGCTTTGTAACTTGTCGTTTTGGGATAATTATCTTAACGTGACAAACATGTTTGCAAGTGTTTTGACGCATCAATACCCAGAGCTGTGCTGTTATTTTGCTGAACGTGAAATCGAACAACGCGGTAATAAAACCAAAGGAATTTACGCTGAACTCAAGCGGAGATTATCTTGTTATAATTATGCTAATAGTACTGAAAGCTTGACTCAAACTTAAAATGTAAGTTACATACCTACTAGATCAAAGATTGGCAGTTCGTATTGCAATGATTTGAGTGGTGAGAACAAATCTTAAGCCACGAGAGAAAGGGGCGGTTATTTAATTGTCCCAATTGCAATCCCCTGGCGGTATTCCGCTCCTCTTGTTTGCGTTCTTCGGGAAGGGACTGCAAAAGAAACGCAAAAATGAAACCAGCATGCATTTAAATAGATTATTTGAAGAGTATTCTAAGATTTGCACATTCGCAGCCATTTTGTGGTCAGCGATATGTGAAAACGATTTGAAGGGGTTTTTTTTTTCCTTCCGGGGTTTACCCCCCGGGGGCTTTTTCCACCGTCGTGTCATCAAAATGCGACCCGAAAACACTTTTAAGAAACTAATCACTGAGAACATAAAATAATGACGAAACAGTCGTAAAAATAAACAATTTACCCGAAACCCTTAGATGGACAAAGGCGCGATCTGAGCAAAGTTAACTAATTTGCTTTGTGTCTTTTTAGCGGGGGAGGGAGGGGGGATCAGGGGTGGGGTGGAAATGAGGGCGTAGGGAGGAAACTTCAGAGGTCGCTATGCATAAGAGAAACCTAATTAAACTTCGACACAGCTTTTAAACCATGAACTTTTTTCTTCAGGAGCTCATGTCTCTTTACTGACCAATGAGTAATCGACTTTCAACTTTCGATTAAGCTCAGGAAAATTTTGGTACTGGACAAAAAGTTATTCGCGAAGCCGTGAAAACTATCTCATAAAATACCTTTCAGCGTTCGCCTCCCGCCAATCGGCCCGGCGCAGGTGCCATATGTGGGTTGAGATTGTTGTTGGTTCTCGCCTTGCTTCGAAGGTTTTTTGAAAAAAACAACATTTCCAAATTCCAATTTGACCAGGATAGAGACCCAGCTAGGGCTGATGTGGTTTCCTGTAAGTATTATAATTTTTTTTTATCAATGTCAGATTTTGTGGAGACAAGAACCTTCGAAAGTGATTTCGACTAAGGCATGAGGGGTGGGGTGGGAAAGGATTACAATACGTCCAGTCAGCCATCGGACTGACGAAACCCTATGAAGGTTTAGCCCACATTCCAATGAAATTTTGTAAAAACAAAGCCGAAGAGAGGATGGTAAATAATGATAAGACCTCTTATATAAAACTTCTTCTTATCAATTAGTTTTATGCAGAAGTCCATAGCGTTTTTCGTCCACTGACTCTGTTGAGGGGGACTCGCCGACTCGCATCAAACTCACTGCATCGTTTACAATCGTGAGTAAAACGAACTCATAAACTGAGGTACACCTTGCCCAGATGTAACCTCAGTCATTCAACCGTGAAAATCTGCACAGCACATGATTTTATGATCACCATCAGATTTAAACTAAGTCGCCAATAAATCATCTGCCTGAATCACGCGAGCTAAAGAACATTCCCTTTTAAAAAATTCAAAATGATCTAGAACACAATGAAATCTCGCCAAAATCGCGGCGTGATGGTAAAGAGAATAAAAAATATAAACAGGCGAAACCGAAGTACTCAAGTACTTGTGAGTGAATAAGACTGATGAGCTGGAACTAAATGGGTTACAAATTTGCTAACGTGATTTTGTCTGACTTAAAACAAGCAACCAATGCAGAAATGTCATTTCAAATCCTCTTTGCTCGTTTTGCAGCTGAAGATTGCCAAAGGGCTGAAAGAGTGTGGTTTTCATTGTGAAGTTTAGTGTCCGCAATTAACACAGAAAGGCATTTCTTTCCTCACTTCTCGTGTCTCGTGACCTAGGCTCTCTCAAAGGTTAAGGCTTTCGTGTTCAACGAACACGCAATCCCACGTTTTCCGGTTCTTTGTAACTTTTGTAAACAGCTAAATCCTTTTCGAAATGGTACTTAGTTGGTTGATGTTGTTTGCTTAGTTATCGGTCAGTTTCAAGGGTCGGGCTTGTGTCCAGCGAATTAGTGGAAACATCCCCAGATCCCCGCCCTCTCAGTGAAATGGGATAAAATTTCTGATTTTCATTCCTGGGCGAGTTTTGTTTAGACATTTCTTCTGACCCTACCTTCTCTGCTGATCGACATTTACCGAACAATTTATCAAACAAGGACATTTCAAGACTGTCTTAAATTCCTAACAACGCCTTCACAGAGGAGATATCTAGCAGATCTGTGACCTTAAATGTCTGTTTTCACTTTAAAATCTCGCAATTCTCAGCTCAATTAGCCAATTCATTAAGATCTGTTCGACCGATGTCCGACAAAAGCCTGTTGTTAAGAGCTAGCAGGTCTGTTCAGTAAAGCGCAGATTATGAGCTTGCCTTCTTGCTATTGTCCTGAGGAGTGTTCTGGTAACAGCATTAACAAGGTCGCCATATGCATGGCGTGCTTTCTAGGACCCTTGCCTGAAGTTCTTACCCAGTGTCACTTGTCATGCACGATGGATGTCAACGCGAAGCATTTTTGGAAGAGATATTTTTAATGTAACAGGTGATACAAAACAGTAAAATCACCACAGTCCCTCCATCGGACGTGTAGCCATCATTTTATCAATGAGGTCTTTGATTCATTGATTGAAAAAGAACTTGACGCATTGAATATGAAACGGGCAGCGAGCGCCATAGGAGATCAAAATCGCTTTGTGAATTTTTTTTTTTGGTAACTGATCTTTTTAGAACAGTTACAATGTTAGTTATGATGCAATCTTCAGAATCTTGCAAGTGTTTTGGCGAGGAACCCAGCATGCAAATAATTGGCTTTCTCCGCGGGAACCTTTTACATATTCGAATGTTTAGTCTTTTCACAACTTCTGGATTTTTTACGATAAAATTTGAAGCATTTTCAAAGCTGCAGCCGGACAGTCCACACCTGTCCGGGCCTGAAACGTTCTCTCCTTCGTGTCAAATCTTTAAAGTCGCACATTGTTAACAAGGTAGAATACTTGTCTATATATTGCTATAAATCTTATTTCAACTAATCTCCAGTGTTAATGAGCTTGTCTGTGCGAAAATCTCTGAAGAGATGACGTTTAATGCGTGGTAGATTGATCTTACATATCGAGAAAGGAAGTACGAGATACAAGTCAAACTTCGGTCAAAGTGGCATGGCCTCACGTTTTAGAAAATGAAAAATTGTGGTTTAGCGGGCGTTTCCAGCCTTTCTTTGTTACAGTACAACCTAGGGAGATTTGGTTCTTTTAAATGTGTTCAAAAAGTTAGAATCCTGCGGTGATAATGAAAGAAAGATGCGAAAATTTAGTCACCGTTTTCCACGTCAAGATAAACAAATAGAGGCAGCGAAGTGTAAATCCGTTACCACTTTGGAATTGTTGCCTCGCGCGAGACGGAAAATTAATAACTTAATTTACGGGAGGGTTTTCCTGTGCTTGACAACAACACAAAGCCAGGGAAAACAATGGAAAATATCATATTATTTTTATTGTGTTTATAAGCCGAGCTTAAGCAACTTATCTGCTTCGTAACTCTTCAAGCGCCTTAGCAGATGTTTCTAATTTTTACCAGCATGTGTTGGCGCCGAAGAAAAAAATAGAAATTTCAGGAATCAGAGGGATTTGATCGTCGCCTAATTGACTGGCTTGTTTGTTGCTATCACGGCGTGAACACAATAAGAAAAGAAAAATCGTTTCTCAAACCCCTTAATGCTAATAAGAGCGTGACAGTTAATTTTGCCAGACATCAGTTAACCTCGGTTAGAATCTGATATTTCCCGAGAGCATTTCCGCTCAGTAAGCCGAATTCAGCTGGTATAACAGCTCCGCGTGCTGCCTTGAAGCGTAGGTCTACCAAATTCCCCAACCAGGTGGTCTGAGCAAGTTTGCATAATATTTTCAAATATCGTACACAAGGAGTACAGAGCGAATAGCGGTGTCAATTTGTGGTCGGCCAGATAAAGGTGTAAATTGAATCTTTTTGAGCGCTGATGTGCAGATATAATAAACTTTTGTTCGAGTCGGTTTCCGGTAACATCATTAACCTCGTGAAGAAAACACTTGGCCAGAGTCGTTGCAAAGCAAAAGAGAAGCAAGCTTTCGCGGGTGCGAAGCGGGTCATTTGTACCAAGTCTAGTAAAGTCACAGCATCTCAGAGGATTTGAAACAATGCACGGACTATTAGGCCTGTTGCGTGCCGTCTGCCTCCTCCAGTTTGTATTTTCTTGCCATGGATTTCTCCGAGTGACCAAGTTATCGCCGATCGCTGTAGAACTTGGACGGTCTGTGTTCCTGGATCCGGTGGGTGATCTTAAAATCACCTTTCCCGAAGGAGCCGATTGTAAGGTGTCTGTGTTACGCAATGATCCCTTATCGCAGAGAGTTGGTTTCTTGGTGCCAGACATATTCCCGTGTGACTTCTCTCTGGGCGACGTCCAATACTCACACTTGGGGTCTATGTTTTTCATGCAGGACTTCGTTAAGCTTCAAATCCGCGCGGACACGGACACACAGACTCGTTTAATTCCACTCAATCTTCATGTGACAGTTTCGTTCTCGGACATGGAAATCGTCAACAAAAACCTTCCCATCACCGTAGTTGAACTCGGGGGCATATCCACAAGTATAAACAGCGATGTACTTGCGTTCAAAGATGACCCAAACAAAATATGCTCCGTGACGATTCTGAACTTCAACAACGGAATAATTCCGCGATACGGGCAACTTGTAAACGTGACAAAGAAGGAAAGCAACTCGGCACAGTACGAGTGTGGCGAATTCTTACGCTCCAATATTCGCTATCAACATAAAAAGCTTTCATCTTCTAATCGGGATTTTATTCCCTTGGTCGTAGAGCTTATCGATCAAAATACTCATCGAATGGAGAGGGAATACTTTCAAATAATCGTGCGTATTTTGGAGGCTCGATCGAATCAACGGCCAGTGGCTTCTTTTCAAGTTTCCAATACCGTAGAAGTCAATCAGTACACGTTTGCGCCGATAACTTCTGATATCCTTGCCGCCTCTGACACGGAAACCGATGCAGGCGAGATAATTTTTAATATCACTCAAGCGTTGCAGCCCGGAGAAGGTTCCTTGGTCAACACGGATGACCCTTATCAACCGCTGACAGCTTTCTATCAGAGAGATATCGAACAGTTTAAAATCGCCTACAGGCCGCCTGCAAGTCAGCAGAGCGAACTGCGCATGTTTCAAGTGCTTTTGGAGGCCGTGGACACAGAAGGCGCGAAATCTGAACAAATTTCGCTTCTGATCATGGTGAAACCGACAAATAACGAGGCTCCTACGGTGACGAAAAACGCCGGACTCAGCTTGTTTGAAGGTCAATCACGTGCGATCACTGAAAAATCCAATCTGGCCATCGCTGATAAAGATAACTTCAATGATGTGCTGCTTAAAGTGATTGGCGGTCTGCGGCACGGAGAGCTCAGAATTATGGGGCACAAGATCGATACTTTCATGGCTACCGATCTGGAAATACCTGTGATAACTTATCACCATGACAACTCAGATACATACAGTGATAACATCATATTCCGCTTGAGCGATGGCAAACACGATATAAAGTTCTTGTTTCCAATCACCATAGGTCCTGTGGACGACACAGCTCCGATGCTGTTGTACAACACTGGCCTGACACTGGACGAGGGGGATGTTGCCTTGGTCGACCGGTACATGCTCAGTGCGACAGACATTGATTCCGAGGACAGTCAAATTCAATTTAAGGTCATCAGCTTTCCAAACTTCGAAGAGAATTCAGGTTCTTCACTGTTTCAAGAAAACAATGTCGGTGTTTTGTCCCTGCGAATGAGAAGTCCCCCCAGACGTGGCGAAAATTGGGTTTTACAAGACGACGGTCTCTATGAACAGAATGTCACTCAGTTCTCTCAGTCTGATATTATTAACAGAAGGCTCTACTATCGACATCTCGGCAGAGAGCTTTTCAGCGACGAAATAGCTTTTGTTATGTTTGACCAAGCTGACAACCCTAACGTATCGCCGATAAAAACTTTCCAGGTTACCATCCGAAGAGTCGACGACTTACCACCATCTCTGTTTCCTGGATGTCCTCTGGAAATAACCGCTGACGAGTATGGAGTTGTGGAGCTCAGCGAGGCTGTACTTCACTACACGGATAAAGATTCTCCGGACGAGGAACTTACGTATTTTATTACAAAAGAACCACACTTCAAAGACGAGAATCCGAACATCACTGAGCTAGCGGGCGAAATCCTCCTTTCAGATATGAAAATGAAAGTGTCACGTTTCACTCAGCTTCAGGTGCGACACAAAAAAATAAGTTTCAAGTCTCCTGAATTAGAACTTGGCACCAGAACTAGATACGCCCAGTTCGAGTTTTCCGTATCTGACCTAGCAGGCAATACGATTAAAAATCAGGTGTTCCGTGTTGTTCTGAAGCCAGTCAACAACCAGGCTCCTCGTGCGATAGTTCAACCTTTAGAAGTTACAGAGCTAAGCCAAGCGACTCTTGGAAATGAACGATTGAAAGTATTCGATGAAGACACACAGGACGAGGAAGTAACTTTCACTGTGACCGCTGTACCGCGTTATGGCGTTCTCCTCAAGGACGAACTGGAAATGCAGTATCTTGATACCTTCAATGTCCCGGATATTACGAATTCCCGGATGCGGTATCAGCACGTGACCAAGGGCGAGGCCAGTGATGAGTTAGGGTTGACAGTTGATGATGGAGTCCACAAGACCAACTTCCTCTTGGAAATAGGTGCGTTTTAATAATTGATGTATGTTAAGAATAGTAACCGAACGGAAAATAAAACGATATTTTCCCTTTCAGAGCTTTTCAGCGAGTTTTAGAACAGCACACACTTTGTTACCAAAATAGAAAAACTCTTAGTTACAAAAAAAAAAGATAATTGAAACAGAAAAAATTAGGTAAATTCACTCAGAATGACTTAAATGCTAATCGAACTGATTGAAATTAAATAGTATTTGTATAAAGTTGGCTGGCAGTAAACCTTGAATGGGGTCCGGAGGGGGCAATAAGGAGACAAAATAAGGGGAAAAGAAAAAAAATCACCAATAAATAAGAAAGCGGAATAAATTAGTAAATCAATAAATGCGTAGAAATTAAGTAAATGTCATTGTCAGTGATGTACCGCAAGATTTTCATAGCTAAAATTTAAAGAAATGCACGACAGTCAATAAGGAGAAAATAAGTAATATTTCGAGTTTCGGAATCTTTTGAAAGCAGTTGAGTTACGTAACGAAAAACATGTGTTATACTTTATTTGGAACTGTTTTGGTTTGCTTACGTACTTCCTATGCGAAACTGCAACATAAGCATCGAAGTTTCTGGCCACTGTCGAATTTCCGGCTAAAACTAGACAATACATGGCTTTTTAATCTTTAGATATACAAAGACCTAAGCTTGGGCACGCTTATGATCAGTTTGCAAGTGTAAATTAAAACCACAGGCAGTCTTAGAAATAGGAGTTACATTTCCGCCTCAAGATTTTTCTGTTTTAAAACTTGTTTCAGTTTTTTGGTGCATGTTATGCTCATTTCTGGAGTATTTCTGCCATCCATGTTCAACCAAAGTGTTCATGGTTTCTTAAATTCGATGAGGGAAAGCCTCTCCCAGGGATTGTGCGCGGCAAAGCATGAACAGCACTCGGGGAAGACGGTCACCGAAGTCGCATATCTGGGGTCGAGGAAACTGAAGTCCGTGGGGTATTTTCATTTCCAGGAAATTGTCCTTGTTACACTGTATCAAGGAAAAAATCGATTCGTGTTGAAAAATGCAACACTATAAAAGCAAGCATTTCTTTTTTTTCAGAGAAAAATGGTGAGAGGCTTAGTTAGGTGGGTTTTTTTTTTTAACTTCATGGTTTACGGTGAGTTTATATTCCGGCCAATGTACAGTGGAACCTCGATTTAACGAACCTCTATTGAACGAAGTCCTTTGTGTAACGAACAGTATTCCTCGCCCCAGTAATAATAAAATATATGGAAAAGAACCCCGGTATAACGAAACCACGTTATAGCGAACATGTTTTTCCAGTCCCTTGGCCCTTCGTTCTATCAAGATGGGACGTGAAGAGCATTTGCTCTTACGTAACTTTGCTTGTCGCTGTGAGATTCACAATAACAACATTTCAGTATATCCTCTTTTTTACCGTTGCATAACAAGCAACGGACCATTAGACAGACTTTACTGGTTTTTTTTTATTATATTCAACGGCGTTTAACTTTCGTGATGCAGCCGAAAACAATGGTAGTTAATTTCCAATCAAAACAAACTCAGCCTGATTTGAACACAGACAGAAGAATTAAGCGTCGAAATCCGACAACTTGGCCAAAGTAGTAGTCTAAACATCCTCTCAGTTTCTGCGTGTGAGGTAAACGCACGGCCTTGTTTGTAGATTATTATATTGTTGTACAGAAGGTTCAAAGAGATACGAAAGAGGTATCTGTTAAGGAGCGATGTTACGATAAGCCACAGCCTAAGAGTAGCAGCGGAGAAAGTACTCAATCTGCAAAGCGCCAAAACGGAAAATGCTTCGTGGACATCATCTTTTAAAAGCAAAAAGTCAAAAAAACTGAGAAACAGAGCCCACAAGGACTAGAAAAGAGAGAGAGAGAGAACTAACTCCGATATGAGACTTGTTCAAAACTTTCACAGGGCGAAAAATGGAAAACACTCAATTAAGGGCGTGTGTTTGTATTTTTGATTACAATGACACTTGCTGTGACTTGATCAACATTCTATTGGAAGGCGATTAAAACATGCAGGAAATATGTTTTGATGTTAATTAACACCGCACTCCTACATGAAGAACTTGTGTGTTCCTTTCCTGCTTAATAATTTATCATCTTTTGAATAAACACAGTCTATTCAAAAGTGAGATCTTCTTGAAAAGTAAGTAACAAAAAATGGAACACTGCCAATGATCGCTCGATTACAGGTTATTTTTGCCAAAACATTAGCTCTTACCGCAGCAAACAATGCTTGTTTTCGTGCCAAAACTTGTTGAAGACTTTTCTATGGAGCTGTAACTTGTAATCCAAAATAAACGGCTTAAACAGACACGTGCAATAAGCTAACATGGTTGGAAAAATAAACAGTTTACTTTGCGTGTTATTTGCTTTTTTGTCTCACTGAAAACGCAGCAAAGGCAAGTGTCGTTATATCCCAATTGTTCAGTCAAATTCGTTCTGAGCAGCACCGAGAATAAATTTTCGTGACTTTGTGTTTAAATCTTGTTGAAGATTGAATAAAAGTTTTGCTAAAACGGCGACGTCCTTTGTTTCGTAAATTGGATTAAATTCATCGTTAGCACTTGTGATCGAGGACGGTAAACGCTGCACACGCTGAACGTGTTCATCAGAGAACTGCCAAGCTCTGGAAACTGGAATGGTTTAATCCTGCGGCGTTGAAAGAACAAGATTAGAAGGTTCTACGTTATTTTCACAGGCCGAAATCTCCTGTAATCTGCTTATACCGCATAAACGGCTTCAATTGACTTCGACAATTAAAAATAACGTGTTCTGTCTCACAATATTCCTTGTGATTCCGTTCTTACCAAATTAGCTCAGAATAAATTAATAGTTTTAATTTAATAGTTTTGCTGATCAAGCCGGACGTAGAAATCTTTGTCATCTTTGGAGGTCTGTACCATGTGGTGTCTGTTGCAGAAGAGCTGCAGAGATTCCCGCCAGCTCGACAAGTCAGTCAACAAGGGCATTATCGCATTGACCTTGTTTGGATCGAAAGATGCTAATGGCAGTGGCGAACATTTCAGTTTGAATTAAGGTTACAGTATACCTTCAGGGGTGTCTCGCGCGCAAGCGATATAGCGCGTGTAGTTTAAGGGACCGTTCATTTTTTATGAGGGAGGGGGGGCTGGTGGGATTTGGGAAGCACCATTTAAAAA